TTATTATCACTTTTTGCTTATTTTATAAGTGATCAGTAATACGCCAAAGTTCGATGCATAGTTCTTACCTATCGTACAAGGTACAACCAATATTATTTTAGTTAGACAAACTACGCTGTTTATAGTAGTGGTCGGTGGCAGTTTATTTCTATAATAATCACTACGCACAATAATATAAGTCACCAACAAATATACAGGTAATAACTCTACAAATCTGATATGTATACAATGTATTAACAAATCAATATTGATGATAATTTAGTAATTAAAAAAACACTTTCACTCATGAGTCATGAGTGCAGTATTATTTTAAAATTTTAATTTACCTACTTATTTTATAGAACGAATAATTCAAAACAAAATAGCGTAATATAGGTGTTTGAAATGTTCTCATATAAATTACTCGAACAAGCCTTTTACTATTATACATTTTTTTCTATACTATTCAAAAATATATACAACAAATAATGCATTGGATAAAAGAAAAACTAATATTTTTTTTTAAACATTAATTTCTTTGTTTGCTTTTCAAATTTTTTTTTACCTTGAAATCGTGAGCTAGCTATTGCGTATGGCCTATATAAGTTTACGGGTTTGCTAATAAATATTAGATAAATTAAATATAACTGTGTCAGTGATATATTATCTCTATCGACACTTGAGTTACCAAAAGACCACATTAAACTAACCGGTTACAGTTTGGCTCTCTAGAAGTCGATATCTCTAGTCGCTACCTTACTGTTTAGACTTTCAAGTTTCAATCTTCAACGACCACGAATTAACCAGTTACAGATTAGATTGAATGAATACAATTAACGTAGGACTACCTTCACCGTTTAAACCTTAAAAAGTCAACGACCATAAGTCAACCGGTTACAGATCAGATCTAAGGAGTACGTAGAATTGTGTGGCTACTCAAACAAAACATATAGGTACCTAATTTTTTGGGTCGGAAACACATTTATTAAAATTGAGAAGCAAACATATAATAATTCACTTAATCAAAATACTTGGCCCGTTTCAGTGTTTCACACGCACAATCGTCGTACCTACGTTCTCGTCGATATACTCGACGACAACGGGACTGCCCCACGCATGCGCGTTTGGCATTCTTATATATATCATATTTTGTGTCACCTCAGCACATCTTGCTTCCCAGGCCTGACCTATCTTAATATCTTAATTTCTAAATTATTTCCCACTTATACGTGTACATTAAATAATATTATACTGACGACTGTCTACAATATACCTAGGACAACTTGTATTGATTCTCACTATTTTAATAGATAATTTGGGGTGTGTAATAGAGATACGTTATTAAATTATTTCAGGGTGATACCATTATAGTATAGTAAGTCCCTTTAACTACTACAGGCTAATTACAAAAACGACAAATATATTATCTCTCATCCATTTCATACTTTTTTTTATAGTTAGTGAGTATCTACTGATCGATGTTTTTATTTTGGTATACATTTATACATACATGACTTCATGTCTTCATCACAGTAAGCACTAACTTAAGTAGTTAAGTAGTAGGTACCTACTATAGTTAGGTGTAATTTATTATATTTGTCTCAGAAACAATTTAAATACCATTTTAATATTATATAAAGATATAAAATATAACAATATAGCCATATAGGTAAATTATGTTCCATCATGTATTGAGTTAATGATAGGTATTTAAAATTGTTTTTTATTTTTTTTTCTTATGATTTATACATTTGAGAATACATATTATAATAATATATAAATACTATTATGTATTTTTTTATGTGTATCTACCATGAAGAATAAAGATATTTTTATTCTTCATGGTATCTGCTACTTATCTAGCTGCTTAAGCTAATAATCTAATTGATTTATTTTCATTAATTTTCAACAAAATGTGGTAGGTATATACCTATATTTTTTGGTTTTATCTATGATAACTGATACCTAGCTGATAAGTGACTAATTTTATGAATATTTAGTTGTTTAATTTATTAATTGGGTATAAATCAGTTTAAGCTAAGTGAATAATACAACACATTTTTTAAGTAGATACCTACTTGACTAACTTGTCAATAACAATATTATAGGTATACGTGTGAACAAAATATATGGTAGGTACCTAGATAATAAATTTAAAATATTACGTTTATATAAAATAAAACGGATAAAAAGTTATTGACTACAGGCACAAACATTACGGTTAATTATGTAATCTATACATACCTAAATATTAGGTACCTATGTTGATTTATCATTATTTTTTCTAATAAATTGCTTGTTTTTTACCATTCGTTTGATACCTACGAAGGTATCTAGATATAATTAATATAGTTAATAGATAAAATAAAACAACTAATTTCTTACGCATTATGTGCTATTAGGTTGTTAAATGGTATGTGTTATGACTTATGTTATACTTGGTAGGAGGTAGGACTATTTAAATTTCTGAATTCGTCAAATTACGCACCAGCGCCTATTGTAGGTGATTCAATTATTAAGTGAATGTAAGTTACAGCTTCAAATTGAATATTGTAGCCGTACTATATATTATGTTTCTACATGATATAATTATATTGATGATTACTATATGGTTGAAATTTTACTATATTAAAAAATAATTTTATTAGGGTGGTTTAACAACTGATATATTTCCATAATTAGTAATTACAAATAAGAGGCTGAGGATCGATTGACAAATTCAAAAAACTTAAATAAAATAATTATAAGAATAATTACTATTAATAAAAAGTATTTACATATTATAAAACTATTAGCCATTGATTGTTTTATGTACTTTGCTGAAGATAGGTAGGTATCTACATATTCCTAATTATTAAGGCTAAATGTAGTTGGCAATAATGATTTTTTTTGAACTAGGTATTAGATTTATTGCTAAGTAAATTTGAAATTAATTTCATTACGAAAAAAATATTAAAAGTTTATTGTAAAAACGTTTGCATATTTAGTGATGTTGATAGTTTTAAGAGTACCTATATTTTACCATTTTTTAGACCATAGTTAATACATGTATATTATGTTTATTATATAATGTGAACATTTTACCATTGAAATTGAAAATAAATTAATACTCTATAGCAGGGACTGGAATCTTTAGGTATTTTTGGGTTCTTATAAAAAAGATTAATTGGTTCCAGTTCCGATTCCGGTTCTTAAAATTACAAAATATAGGTTCCGGTTCGGTTAATTCCGGTTCTTACCGGTTCTTAAAAATTAGTTTTTCCAAACATTACCTATTGCTTATTAGGTAGATTTTTCACTCATAGAAGTTATAACTTGGCCCTGTCTTTTAAAAGATACTTTTAAAATTTAAATACAGATGCTAGATACAAATACATCCATTCAAAAAGTATTTAAAATACATTTCAAATACTTTTTTAATTTTACTCAATTTATTTCGTTTTGCAAAATTAATTTTGTAATTGCTAATTTAAAATAGAGTAATGTTAGTATGTTACATTCATCTAGATATTATTAGAGCTTTTTGAACCTCCTTCTTAAATTTATACTGAAAAATGAAAACTAATAAAACTTGCTATATCATAATTTTGAAATCCTTAATTATTAGGTGGGTAATTAAAGAATTAAACAGTTATTAATAAAATCAGAAAATAATTTAATTATTTTACAAGGTAAGAAATTATTAATTTAAGCAGTGTATTCAATTTTTAAAAAATAATTTGAATTGATTAACTATTATACTGGGTTCCTATATAGGTCTTAGAAATTGCTAATAACTAATAAGCAAAACATCAAATTACAGTATGACCATAAGATTAATAAGCCGTAAATTACTTGTATGTGTCAATGTGTGAGTGTGTGGCTGTGTTTGAGACCGTGAAACAGAGTTATAAATAACTGTATAAATATTATTACTAGTAATAGTAGTAGATATATTCGTTAAACATTCGTAAAAAAACACAACATTGTTGTCCACCATTCTCGGTATATATTACCAATAACAAATGCAACCCTTATGTGAGTAAATTAATCAGTGTCGGTCATACTTATAATATGATTATTTCGAGTTAAAAATTTAAATTACCACATAACATTACTATGTACAAAACAAAAATATTTCTAAGAAAAATAATTATTTGATTACAACAAAATCCAATTTAAATAAAATGTTCAGGTATTTGAAATACAGGATTTTTTCTTAGAACCGATAAGAACCGGACAACTTATTGTTTATTATGGTTTATTATGTATTATTAATTATTATGGTTATTATTATTGTCCTGTTCTAATTCCGGTTCTAAACATTGTAAAATATGGATTCCGGTTCCAGTTTTTCTCCAAGAACTGGTTCTTTCGGTTCCGGTTCCAGTCCTTACTCTATAGGCAGGTATTATAATATGTATATTTTAATATTTTATTTCAAAAGTTTTCATTAAGGGATATAGGTATTATATTGTATTGGGTTTTTCGAATCCTCAGTTGAAGTATAATTTCCTGTTTTTATTAATAAATATTTAGTAAAAATTATAATATACAAAAATATTATTATTAAAATATTGGTATTTGTGAAATTTATGAATAAAAAAAATTAGCTCATATTTTTAAAGCACACTTGTACTATTTTAAGCGTATAAATTCATGCATATTTAGTACATTTAATGTGCATTAATTTCCGAACACTACAGTAGGTAATAACTAATAATCAAAGGTACAAAATCAGTTTAAACTATTGTAATAAGCATACAATCCTATACGCTCCTATGCATGTAGTTATTTCTTTATATCTTTCAATTGTTATTTTATATTCCTTATTAAAGTATTTATTATTGCCATCGATCAGACAAATGATCACGTAATAATAGTCGCAGCTGCAACAAAATCAAGAAATGAACACCGAAGGTAAAATCTTTGATTATTAAGCTTAGCACGGCGTGGCGTAGGCAATTTAAATATTTAATTGTACCTACATTTCTTTTTTATATTTTTGTTTTAGGTACATAGTTTGATATTCTTAATTAGACATGGACAGAGGTAAATTTACTATTTGTATGGTATTCGTCTTCAGTCTGGTGATTGGCGGAGACAGGAGTGTGGAGGCTCAAAATTCACAAAAAAATAATGGTAAGTTGTATATCAAAACATTAATGTTCCGTTTCAGTAAACTTTTAGATTCTGAGCTAAACGATGAATGTATTGATCTTATAATGATACCTATATGTTTATTATTAAATTTAAAATTGTTGTGTCAGTCATCACCTTTTGAAGTAATAAAACTGAGAAGTAATTTTCTTCAACAGTATCTTGTTTGATGGGAAAATTAATCTAGTTGGTTTGCATTCGGGAGGTTGAAATTACCAATAGTTTTCTAATGTGCAGGGAAAAAAAACAAACATTAAGGAAAAACGGTAATTTTTATGCAAAATCGGTTTTCGACAAAATTGAATTTGGTTTTTGGCGAAACACAGAAATAAATTACTCTAAATATTTTAAATGTTAACTGAATGTTTATATAAGCATTTTCTATACATGATGAAATATTGAAAATATTTTCATTTGTTTTGAGATGTTTTTTGTTTTTTTTTTTTTTTATAAATTTCAATAAAATTGTATTCATTTTGTAAACATACTTGAAAATTTAATACACGGCTCTTAATATATTGTTTCAATGGGAGTTGAAATATATTAAAAATTAATACTCACAATTAGCATTTAAAGTTAGAATTTTGACAAAATACGTAAAAATCACGAAAATGTGCAAATTATTTTGAAACTCATAAACATTTTTCCATTTAAATCTAAGATTTTAAAATGTGGTTCAAAATTCCTAATAAATTTGTCTACCTTTATCAAAAAAAAAATAATTTCGAACTGAAAGTCAAATTATATTGTTATGAACGTTTGAAGTTCATACTTCCTACAATTTTTACAAGATTGTATGTTCACTTGATTTCTCATGTAGCGATTTTCTTATTTTGCTTTAGTTATAAAACGTATAACTGTAGATACGTATGTATTATGTTGAACTTCACACCATATGTTTATTTTATCAAGTCCTACACTTGATACTTTTTTCAAAAAATGTTGACATGTTTACAGATAATTTCAATTTTCAATTTTTTTAACAGTATCTGAAATTTACGAAACAGTTTCGTCAATCAAATTGCCATCTCAAGACATTTGTGGACGGACCAATGTTACTCACAATAGAACGGTCGGAAGACTTGGTGCTGAATTAGGTATACGTTTGAAAACAATTTAAGTTATAATTTTTAAATTTCACAAAATATATACATAGACAATTATATTAGATTTAGATAATTATAATTACAAATATTGACTTTTAATTGTACAGGGTCCGTCAGAACAAACGCATGTTTTTCGAAATAATACTACGCTAAAAGTAATTTCCGTAAAATAATTTTTATTACATAAAAAAATGTAGAACCATATGCAATTTTTTTTTATTGTAACCTTTGTAACAAAATTTAAGTTTTGAAAATGATGTCAGTCATATGGCGGCCTTGAGACCCAATGCAGGAATGCAGGCGCTCCCGAAACGAGCCCATCGCGTCGGTCAGCATCTGTCCCGGAACTTCACCCTGAGCTTCAAAGACGACATGTCAGTATTAAAAAAGTGTGGTTTCAACAAGACGGGGCAACATCACACACAGCTCGTACCTCAATGGAGGTTCTTCGCCAAAAATTCCCCGGATGTCTCATTTCACACTTTGGTGACGTTCTGTGGCCCCCTCGCTCCCCTGACTTGTCATTGTGTGATTTTTTTTTGTGGGGTCACTTAAAATCAAAAGTCTATCAATACAAGCCACAAACCCTAGATGAATTGAAGAACGAGATCACACGAGTTGTGGGTGAAGTTCCGGGACAGATGCTGACCGACGCGATGGACTCGTTTCGGGAGCGCCTGCATTCCTGCATTGCGGCTCAAGGGCGCCATATGACTGACATTATTTTTAAAACCTAAATTTTGTTACAGTAAAAAAAAATTGCATATGTTTCTACATTTTTTGATGAAATAAAAATTATTTTAAAGAAATGACTTTTAGCGTAGTATTATTTCGAAAAACATGCGTTTGTTCTGACGGACCCTGTATTTAGGTGCTTGGCCCTGGATGGCAGCAATTAGGTGTCAATATTTGCCTTATGCGGTATACGGCTGGATGTGTGCTGGTTCTTTGATATCAGATACATACGTATTAACATCTGTCACATGCACTCAAATCCACAGTATGTAAGTGTATATTATGTTACCAGCAAATTGTTGAATATAGGCATTCTACTTATCGGCATTCTATAGAATTCCGTGAACTATTAGGGAATTTATTGAATTCGGATGTTATTCCATATTATGCCAAGTAATTAGACATTTCCTAGAATTTCTGTAGAACGCCAATACTATAATATGTTAGGTAAAGTGTTATATCAAAATATTTTTAGTATTATTTATTATTTATTGTAGTATATAATTATTGGTGTATGCCATTTTGAACTACATATAATATTATTTCTTACACACAAACATTATTTGAATTGGAATTTTGTCTTGCATGTGCATTTGATAAAACCTTGTCCATTTCCTGTATATTGTTGAGCTTCAACTTGTAGTTTTACTTTTTAAATTACAGCGTACATTTTTTATTTCATATTTCAAAGCTGAATATTTTTTTGAAATTTTCAATATGTACCTTTTTAAGAATCGAATTTTGTAGAACTAATGAGAAGGTAGTCAATAAGGTAAAACACTATTACAAAACATGCTTACAAAAAATGAATAATATATTTAATATAAATAGATTTTGACAGTAGGTTGATTCTATAATATTATTATACCAAATACCTAATGTTAGTTGTACCTATCATTGGTTTTATAATAAACTATTGTCTGCTAACAAATTTATTCAAACTAATATTAAACACTATTATTTATTTTTAATAAAAAAGATCTATCAATTTATATAAAATACATTTTTAATAATCATTAATATCAAATATCGTAGCTTCAAGTTATGTGTTTTTTCAGGACTGCTGTGCGTTTAGGTGATTTGGACTTAGATCCTAATGTGAATGATGGATCTGGACCAAAGGATTATAAAATTTCACGTGTCATAAAACATGGAGAATATAATAGCAACAAATATACCAATAATATTGCATTATTAGAATTAGTATCCAAGGTTATGTTCAATCGTGAGTATTTGTAATATTTACTAATATTTTTTAGCTAAAAAATATTTAAAATACATAGGAACAATTTTTTTTTGAGCATTTTAAGTTCGAGTTTTGACAAACATTATCAAATCGCAAGTTGAAAAATGATTTTGTTGTTAAATATCTATAAAATGTTCAAAATTTTTAGCTAATATAAATGAAAATTTAAAACAAGTTTCCACGTAATTAGGTTATTCTATAGCAGTTAAATATAAGCAATTGTAGTATCGACTTTCACGAGAAGACACTCTTATATTACTAACAAGTTTTCTGGATTCTAGACCTCATATACACATGTTATGTTGTAATGCATTGAAATCACTTGGATTTACTATGTGAACTGCTCATTTATTCAGTATAACGGTTTATTTCTAAAGGTACTCTACTGCGCTGTGGTTCGCACTGTTCGTAGTATTCTGGAGTATCGAAAATTTGGGATCCCTATACTATTATAGTTTCTTTCTCCAACTTGAACATGATCTGAGACGGTTTCTTAGGTTCGCTGGTTCTTTACTAAAAATCTCTCATACTTAAAATGGTTATAAACCTGTAGGTTTATACTGTAGGTTCTTCAAGGATTCCATTGCTGATCGGCGACATTCACTAAATCTCCAGTTCTTAAATAATATTCTAATTTCTAACTGGTAAAACAGACACACCTACCCTCTTATCCTTGATTAGTTCTAAGGTTCTTCTACGATCAGTCTGACATTCATTCTCTTTTTCCATTCCACTATCCTGCACATGTTAAATGAGCCTATTAGGCGTATTATGTCCATTACCAATGTGGACCCATTCTTCTCTTTTTAAATTATTATTAATATTGTTGTATATAAATCTTAGTATATTAAATTTAGTATTGCTAGGTATTGTATATTATATATATTATGTACTATTCACTATTGTTAAAGTGCTCAGCCTTTAAAATCTTAATAAATAAATAAATAAATAGCCAAAAAATATAAAAATATAAAATTTTTTTTTAGTTATTTTATGTTCAAATTTGGACGAAATTAGATTTAAAAATGCTGGTAAGTGGATGTCTCTCTGCTGTATAGTAGGTTATAAATGGGTCACTGAGTATAATTGATTATATTAAATTTGAATTCAATGATATCATATCATTGTATATTATGAAAAACGATTCTTAACAGAGATGGTTTGTCGGTCTAGATATTTTATATTATTATAATATTTTATTATAGCCTGTAAGTTGAATTAATATTATAAATTATAAAAAAAAAAACTAAAATCGTTATTTTTGTTTTTATTTTTATTCGTTTATATGGTGATAACTGATAAACAAAGTGTTAGAAATTAAAATCCCATATTTAGCACATTTTTGTAACTTGTCGGTGGTTTTTTCCGTGGCATTAAATAACTATGGTGAAAATCTAAAAATGATAGTACCATCTTGATCCAATTTTCTAAAAGATAAGATACTATATGTGTTGAAATTGAAGAACTCCTTCTGGTAGAAATTTTGTATACAGGATAAAAAAAATAAAAAAAAAAAAATAAAAATAATAAACACCACTGTAAAATCACTAGATTCCCTCTTTCCGCTCAGAATCTAAAATATGAAAATATTATTTGTTGTTAACTTCTAAAGTATATTACTATATACAAATATGATTATAAACAAATAATAATTCAACTTAACCTGCAGCTACCGTATTAATAATAACAGTAAAAATATAATATAAAATATTCAAGGCTGAAAAACCGTCTAAGATAAGAATCTTTTCTCGAATACAATGATACATATATCTTTGAATTAGAGTAATTCATCATGCACCTAAATAGTAAATTCATCTATATTCCGATTATAGGACCTATTCATGTGTAATACATTCAAATCCTTATTCTCTATACTAATTGTCAAATACAATTTAAAGTATTTATTAACTTTTTTTTTTTTTCCTATTTGAACCGACGGCGCCGCGGGAACTGCTTTCGCATTACTTCCGCGACCGCGACGTCGCCATCGTTTATTGAATTTAATAATGTGACATTTTTAAATAATTTTTTACACCTTTTGTTTAGTCCCTTAATGGGTGCACATTGAAACTAGTATTATATTACATTTTATTAATAAAAAATTACATTGTTGGCTTAAGGCCCGCTGTTCGCATTTGTTGACTTCTCGACCCGGCTTTGCTGCCTGCCAGTCTTGAAGTCACGGTCTTGGTCTTCTCGGCCCGGCTTGTTAGCCAGTCGGCCTCGAGTCTCGTGCCTCGCGAATTCTCCTTCTGTTGTTTTGGAGTTCAAGTCCCTCCGGTGGTATTTTGCCAGTTTTCCTTCTGCCCGTTTCCTGTTGTCTCGTCTTTCTGCGAGCCTTGCGGTCTGCAGCGCCTCCTGACGCTGGGCTCGGCCCCTCTCACTCTCAATCGCGATCGCCCGGACGGTGACCAACCGTGCTGTGGGCGTCCTACTAATGCCCCGGGGCGCGCCTGCCGCTGTGGGGCAGTTTCGGATGAGGTGATTGGGGGTGCGGGGAAGCGGCTTTCCGCTCGTCTTCCAGAGTCCGTCTTCGGCTGTTGTTGTCGGGTGGGGGCGATGTTTGCCCTCTCTGGTCTGTTGCCTGCCGGTGTTTTGGTTTGTTCAGTTTTCTTTCTGTTTCCTCCGTTAGTTTGTTCGTCGTGCTGCTCGGTGCGTTGGTCGGCGGATTTTTGAGGCGTTCGGACTAGCGGCCTTTCTCATCAATCGCGATCACCCGGACGGTGACGAATCGTACTGTGGGCGTCCTACTAATGCCCCGGGGCACGCCTGCAGCTGTGGGGCAGTTTCGGATGATGATACTGAGCCGCTTAGTTTACTAGCCGCTGGGTCCCCGTCTAACCTTCCCGGTCTTCTGTGCATCGAGCCTTCTGTCCGTGTTGTCGGTAGTTGGAGGGCGATGTTGGCCCTCTCTGGTCGCTGGAGTTGACCCGCCGGTGTTCGGTTTTATACAGTTTGCCTTCTGTGCCTCCCCCGTTGGCCGGAACCGGAATTCCGTTTCCAGTCGGCACCGCGTGGAGGTGGGGGTAGGACTCTGCCGACCAAAGTATTTATTAACTACATATATCAATAACAACTTAAGATTATGGCATGAAAGACTAAGTCATCAAAACATAAATTATGTCACTAATTGAATAATATATATTCAATATTGGACAAAA